ATTCGAAACAATCAGAAAGTAGGGTATAAAAGGAAAGAAACGGATCTTTAGAATACAACACCGCATTCCAATCCCTATTCAGACATTTGGAGTAAAATTTATCATAATTCGTTTTGCTGAATAGTCTACCAAATTTAAATTTACATTCAAAATTTTCACAGGAAATTTTTATTTGTTTCTATTTCTTCTACAGAGTGTTCCGTTGGGAAACGGGAATACTTCAACGGTCGATAGAGGTACCACGGTGGTTCTGAATATACCATATATGTTTGGTCATTGTAGCATATTTTTGACAATATACTATACTGCGAACGGTAGCTCTTATGTCAGTAGGCAATAGGCATGGATTCGTTGTTTTCACTAAGTGTTCAACAACTGAGATGGACTATACATTATAAAAATCATAAATACTATTTATATAGGATAGATGAAAATCATGAGCGCCACTGAATCTTTAACAGCTTATATAGCTGGGGATAGACCCAGAAACCCTGAAATTGAATTGCATGATAGCTATGAATGGTGAGAGAGATCTATAATTAAAAGAGAACAATTATTCTTGCATATTACATTTTATTCAGTATGCCATGAAATTTACATGTGGCACTAGTGTGGTTCTGGAACAAACCACCAATAAAATGATCATTGTTATTAGTTATGTTGTTAACTTAGAATTATGATGAAATTAGATACAAATGAATATCCTATCACAAATACCAGGTAGCTAACATCTAGAAATCCTATCAAAATAGCACTTGTAGAATTTTTGATATTTGTGACATTCGTCGAACATCAGATATATGGTAGATACTTACTTATTACATGTATTATGAATATGTACAATGAGTATTTACACAACAGTCTCATAGGATCTAACAGGAGGTCTCAGAAGATAATGTACCTGTTGACTTTCTGCTGTGATTCCTCACAACAAGATTGTATCACCATATTATACCGAAAACCAAAATCACTGGACATTCCAGATATCAAATATTAATTCAACATAATAAACGAAAGGTGAAGAGACTATGCAAGATACCACTTAGCTGTTATCTTCCAACTTAGCTGGAATGTTGTTCCTCCAACGGCAGTTCCTGATCACTCAGCATTACTGTGCCCAAAGACTGTACTTGAAACTATAGTTGTATAGGCTCTTGGTATTCTCCAAGCAGCAAAACAGCATGATAAATTTTCCCAGGATAGGAGCATGATGAAAGATGAGAGCATAAACAATGCATCAAGATGCTACTCAAATGCAGCATAGGTTGAGATGGAGTGTAAGATAAGATAAGATAAGATAAGATAAGATAAGAGGTTTAGGCCCCATGTGGCCCCCTTATTTCCAGAATAGAGACTGACTACCGTGAAGATTCTGTAAAATTAAATTACTCTTGAAGAGAGGACTAAAAATACTTTGAAAGGTGAACATACCTCAAAGATATAACATCCTAGTGTTATAGCAGAACGGGAGACGATACAAAATGGTGTCGTCTAATGACTGTGCCGGCTCGAACGAAGATCTACGACTTTGAACAAAAGTTATGAAGTCATACTCTGTTTTCCATATCTATCAGGAACAACAGCACTGTATACCACTATATTACTTCAGAAAAATGTAGACTTCATGGTTAAATTCACTTCGCCGGCTGGAGCACAAAAATCACCACATTCTTTTATCTTCAGTCAATCTCTATCTCCGCAGTAAAAATTAAGCCAAAGCGCACATCATTTTGCGTATCATTCTCAGTTTCGTCATATTTCGTCATTTCCCAATTTCCGGATTCTTTGGACTTTTGTCAATTTGACTTTATTTACATCTATTCTGTCAAGGTCAATAGAATTACTCCTCACCTTAGATCATCAATAATCAGAACTCACGGAACGACTGATCCATTCATTCTTTTCAATTCTACCACACCTGATCTCATTAATATCCGATTGGTTACGAATCCTATTCGACCAACCATTTGAGAAGCGAAGTAGATGGTGTGGCTAAAGTCCTACCAGCTGTTCGTCGTCCTAACCTCAATATTTTGAAATGTCAAAATATAATTATCATGATCAAAACAATGGATCTAATTACATGAAAATTATTAAAAAGGTGGCTGTAATACTGTGTGATCAGGCGACATCAATTTATAGCAAACATCATGTGAAACTCAGTGTCCTTTTCCAATTCATATCAACAGGAGAAATCGAAACATTATAGAATGATAACAATACCATCTTCCAACAATTCATACAGAGTAGAATTGTTATGTGATAACGTTTATGCAGTGACCTTTTCAGTTGATACTTACAAGGTATGATTAACATTCTTTAAATGATATTGACAATCTGCTATAGGTCGGTGATAAAGGATTTCCCTGTTATTGATAAGTTGTGTTTGTTTTCGAAATGACTAAGGAATTATAGGCACAAGTTTTATTCCAATGGTAGAGTTTGTCACTGATCAATATGTAAAAGTGATATCTAGTAGCAATTTTCATAGACTGCATAATATAGTGTTAATTAAAATTGCTACATCATATAAGTTTCATTATCGAGATATAGGGTGTTTTATCACTTCCGGTCATTTTTTCGAACCACCTGGTATTTTTTCTTGATATTTGTTAGACGTGTTTTTCCACTGTTACTCCAGCGACTTGTATATACGTCAGAATAAATTCCAGGCCCAGATTAACAAAAATTTAACATATTATTGAGTCCTCGAAAAAACACCCTGTATGTTTGAATTCACAAAATCCGCTCACATATCTGAAGAGAGCACTAAATGTTGAATGGATTTGTGTACTCTTCATGTTTCCGCATGCTATTTAACTACTGAATTTCTGGAGCTGCAATGAAGGATTTGTAAATTTCAATATCTAAAAACCGACTTTGTGTTATTCTGTTCTTTCATTGAGAACAAATAACTTAATAGGATCTTGTATTCGGAAGTGAATAATAAGTATACTATACCTATAGGTTGAATATTTCATGATTGAAAATACATCAACAATGATAAATAGGCAAACAGTTCCGTTTTGTTGATAACCTGTGGAATAGAATAGAATGGTTGTGCAACGAATTCGGACGAATATTAGAATACGATGATTGTTCAAGAAGAAGGAGATTTTATGTTGGTAACCTCACTTTCTGAAAGTGTGACAATATCTTGAAAATGTTCAGCAAATGAAATATGAATGGGTTTCCTCATGTAATAGCATTCTCTTCATGGATTTAACTGTACCTCAATGAAAATGATAATTCATTAAATCCTTCTGGCAGGGACATAATTTTTGCTCACATCAATCACAATTACCATATATACCTTCGTAATGGAAATTTTCACTATTTCCACTTACTAGTTGTTGTAGCTGATCAGAAATACAATAGCCAGCCATTTTGTTAGATTCCCCTCCCCGTCATCTTATTCCATCGTTCTCTTCGATGGAAATATATCGAGCAGCCAGAGCGAATAGCTTTTGAACTTCTTATAAAATGCATTGAATTGCTGTCACAGAACAAGGTTCGACCCTGGAGGTGAAACATCGAAACACAACTTCACTTTTCTTATTTTTTCACAAAGTTGAAATAATTATCAACCATTATTTCATGTTCATCAATTCGCGCATCAATTCGCGCGTGCCACCCCATTGTGCTATTGTACAATGTACAATGCACAAAAAATGCAGTGAGAGACGGAGGATTCCGGTTGGAACATTATGTTTTCATTTCGAAGTTTCCTAATTTTTCTGAGTCCTCATCGAAATTCCTCCTGCAGTAGAAGCTGATAGAAATGCTCGTGAAATTTTTGGAAGAATGCAAGAAATTTGGATTCATGCAATCAAACGGGAGGATTGGTCTGACATGCTGAGGAAATATGATCGGGTGTGTTGTATTAGCAGTATTAGCTCCTATTGCAGAAGGAGCAGAAGGAATTTTGATGAGAAATGACAAAATTTGATGATGAAAATTATGCGAGATTACTATTTACCTGAAACATCATATTCCTTTGAGTCTCGCCGCATCTTTTGTGTATTGTATGTACAACAGCACAATGAGAGCTAGGGCATGCTTGAATTAGTGAATTGCACAAAAAACACGATTCGTATGCGGAAATATTGTGTGAAACAAAATTTCAATCCTTTGATTCGTGTGTAAACAAATAAAAAAAGTGAGGTTGTGTTCCAATGTTTTACAGAAAACTGAGGTTGTGTTTCGATATTTTACCTCCAGGCTCAGTCATCGTGCACACAGGAGCACGTAAACATACAACACGGCTCCCTCTACTGCGCATGTCTTCTCAAGCTGGTTGAAAATTAAAAAATGACTACGTGCCCGGAGGACCTACTCATAGAGGTATATGTTCCTTTCCCACAAAATATTAACAAAAAATCGATGACAAGTCAAGCTAGTTGAAGAAAAGAACAAGTACTACGTTCCCAGATGACCTACTCATAGAGGTGTACTTGCAAAGTTCAATTCTTCTTTCAGAAATACTAAACATAAATCATAACCTCTCAGTGGCACGTCACGAACGAACACGGGAGACGTGCGCAGTAGAGGGAGCTGTGTTTTGAATGTTTACGTGCTCCTGTGTACGTGACCTATGAATAATGTTTGTAGTGAAGGCAAATACCTACTGTCTAAATGTTCTGTCAACTGTCTAGGAAGAGACATGAATGTGTTTCTATAAAAAAAAGCTTATTGATCATTCCAGAACACGTGATTTTGACATGGTTTCTTGAGGGGCACACAAACTATCTGTTAGGTTACCTTTGATGAGCATAGCCCTGGCCGTCCCTGCCACATCCACAATATACTAACAGTTTCACCAAACAAAATTATGAAATTCTTTCTGGTTCCAACTCAGATTCCTAGGAAAACGATCTCACTTATTCTGGTTTCATATGACAAATTTTGACAAAATACGATGTTTGCCCCTCAGCAACCTTTTCAATGACGAAATTCTGGAATGATTAATTGTGAGCCTTATTCTACGTTTTTTCAATTAGGGCAACGTGCACAAGTTGGGCCGGCTTCTTGCCCACGACCGGTTCACCGTCACCTTCGAAGACGTCAGCAAGGAGCGGTACTTGTTCCTTTTCAAGGCGCGGATCCTGATCTGCAAGGTGCGGAGGATATCCGAGGACAGGTCGATCTTCCAGCTCAAGGATACCGTGAGGGTGAGTTAATAATAATAATAATTCCACTAGGACTTGAGATTTGATATTCATCAAACGTGTTCTCAGGGCATGGAGCTCTTCATGATACATGAAATAGAATATTATTAAAGTCATCTCTACAACATTCATTTGACGATCAGAGCTCAATCACATAGGTGTACATGTTTCGGGCTTATATAAGACCATCATCAGCCGGATACAAGATTTTAGTTCTAGAAAAACCACCAATGACATAAGATATAGATAAACAATGAATACTTACATGGAAATGAAGAAGTTGAAAATTTAATTAACAGGTAGACATCGGTAGATTGTAGTAGTTCATCATCCTTCTTCACATTGTTCAAGGAATCAAACCAGTGATACAAGTTCTACTACCACAAATGATTTATGCACTTCGATTGAAGTATACAGCAGGTATCATAACCCAAGCTATTGCTTGCCTAAAATCAAGTTAAATAGTTGAAAAATCGTTCTCATGACTGTTGATTTTATTGAATTATATTTTTGAATTTTTCTACTTCCTCAAGAAGAGGCAATACGTTTTCGTTAGTGGGGTAGAAGATTATTTCGCTAGATTTTCATGCTCACCCTCCACTATGAGCACCTATACAATACATACTGACTTGTCTCATTGAATGAATCAATAAAGGGATGAATGAATGAATGAATAAATGTTCATTCACAGAAGGTCACAGAACAGGTACATTATTTTTACGGTGGGTGACAATGATGCATTATTTGTAGATAGTGTTCATGCAATAAACAGTAAAATCTAGTTCGTTAAAAAATAACAATACCTCAACATGTCTTTATACTTCCTATTGCCCCAGGTACTGATTGATTCAAGGTACTAACATTGATAATTCCTATAAATATGTATTAATGAAATACCATCGTTCAGTGACTATGGAATTATCAGTATCAAAATATGTATGTACCTTTATCGCATTTTGACTGAAATAATCTTTCATTTAAACGATATATTAATATTTCATGATGAACTCTGTTCTTATAACATCAAACACAATAATAGGAAAACCAGCTGTTGATATTCTCGTTCGAAATAGAATGAACGACTAAAATGTATTGCTCTCAAAGAAATTCCATTTCCAGGGCTATGGATTACCAACTAATCTGATCTGAGGAAGTCCTCAATTTGACTTCTGTTTAACTCCACTCCATATTCTGATCGCTCCAACTGTTAGTAGAGTAGCGTTTTGCAGCTCTTGTATTTGAGACATGTCTTATAGATTTATTTTATATCCCAGCTATGGCAGCTATGAGCTATGAATGATTTGATTGATATCTCTCACTTATCACCTAAAACCTTCAGCCACCAGATGGTCTCTGGAAGGTTGGGAGGCATTGAAATTTTATGAATATTCCTAAGTACCTTTCTCATTTTCAGTTGACACAAATTCAGGTCAAGGACCATCCAGAAGATACACATACTTTCGAATTGGTCGATAAGGTCGGAAAACAATCTCTGATTTTGAAACTCCACAGAAACGTCAAAGGCTTTTGGCTGAAAGAAATAAGAGAATTCGCCAAAGATCACAGTGAGTATATTCAACATATTTTTTTTTGCAATCGGCTCAAAAGTCGTCCATTTCTGTTCCAAAATTACCTCTTTAAGTTTACGTTCCTCTTACTGACACAACAAAATGATTAGAGTGTATGTTGCTAGGCAACACATTCATTGTCTAGGAGCTGAAGTTGAAGTTTAGCTCCTTGGAACTTGAAAAGTTCCGCATGACAGCTGATATGTTAGCTGCTTTTGTCACAGACATGCTGAAGTGGCTCGAAATTGTGGTTTATTCACTTATATTGGATTGATTAGACATCACTAATTTCGATTGCAACAAAAATAGCATGTTTCATTCGGATCAAAAGTGACTCTGTTTGACTCGCAAAATTAGTGTGCTCGGCTTCGTGGTCGCTCCGCTTCGCAAACGCAAATATTGCTCTTCAAACAAACTGTCACATTTCATTCTAATAAAACAATAAACTATTTTCTTATAGTTTGAGTTGATAACCTCAAAACAGATGAGTAATATGAAGCGATGTTCAATTATATAGAAAAAATACATTCTCCACATTTTCAATAACTTGGAAAGGTTCATGTATATTTTGGCCACTCACCTGAACTCTCTACGTTTGACATCTATTCCAGGTGAAGTTGAAGATGCTAGTACCGAAGACTTCCAGAAAGAATCGCTTTCACTAGACCGCACTGAAGAAAAGTCAAACGATCCAGAGGAGAAACAAGAATTCGCTCCAGAGAAACGTCCGCAAGCTCCAGAAAAATTGTCGCAATTAGTAAAAGTACCCCAACCAATAGAACCTTCAGTACCAAGAAAGGAACACCACGAAGCAAGCCAACCTCTTGAACCACCCAAAACTCCTGGCAAGTCGTTAGAGCAAACGAAGCTCGTACAAGAATTGAAACTGGTACTGAAAGAACAATCCAGTTCTTCAGAAAGCACCCTAGTTGCAGAAGCTGCGCCCACAGTCGATTTCACAACCACCACAACTACCGACTTACCTCCTTCAGAAAGCGAGACTTTGAAACAAGTGCAAACCCCTGAATCAGAAGGAACAGTTGAAGACCACCACCTGAGGAAGATAGAAGCAGTTGAGCCTCTTGTCCAGATCAACAAACCACGTGTTCTAGAAGAAGTTATTCCCTATATCATCAAACCTCCGCCTGAGCTAGTGCCTGGCACTGCTATCGATAAATTATTCAGTGTAGAGAAGCAAGGGGTCAGTGACATTGTTTTGACTGATTTCAAGGTTGGTATCGAAGTTAATGTTGAAATTGGAGACGAGATGAGTCGGAGATATGCTTCTAGTCGGTCAGGTTAGTTTTTTTGTAAACAGTTCGATGCCAATAATAAAGATTCCATCCTAACTGTTTGTTGTGTTTTTTTGCTAACTCTAATGATTGTGCATGTGCCTGACGTCTCTAATACTACAAAGTATCGAAATCATAGAACATATGTTCGTCAAGTACACAACATCACTAAATCTCTAGTAAATTCTTTTTGCTTGAGATTGCCTATCGGTTATGATGGCAGCAAGGATTTCCGTTTGCTGTTCATATTCCACACATATTGAACCTAGCAAAGGGCGGATCCAGGCAGACGGTCATGGGGTTCATGACCCCTTCCCCCCTGGGCCCAGGTGGACCGATGATTTTTCAGTGGACTTTCTACTTAGGTCACCAAACAACTGTAATATAGATGGATGGTAACCACATTCTGATACGAACCACGTTGCACATGCGAATACAAGGCTGGAATTGATAATACAAAGCCAATAGAATGCCTTCAGAATTATTTGAATTAGTATGTAAGGTGTTCTCAGTCATTGCTAAAGAACCCATGTGGTGATCCCAGTGGTATTTTCATGAATAAAAGGTTTCAAAAATTCTTGTCAAGAAATGCTTTCTTTATTATTAATATTCCCAATAGCATTCATCCAACAATAATTCAAATAGGTAGATCGTATGAACTTTCAAAGCTGATTCAGAATTTGAAGTCAGACTTTCAATATCTTATTCAGAAATGTAGGCACCGTACTAGGGTAAAACAATAAAATTTCTCATGGTACTTTTGTCTCATTTCAGAATATGATGCCTGAAAGTTCGTCACTTAAAAACGATAGGTACACCTACTTCAAATCGCTAGGACAAGTTTTGAATAAATGGATTCGAGAATATTGAAGAGGCATTGTTCGACGATTATTTAAAGGGACTTTTTTCATAAAAATACGTCAGGAATCACCCCACAGCGAATAGTTAATGAAAGTGGAAAATAGATTTGGGTGCATAGATGATTGAACGGAGATACCAAGTTTCAACTCATTAGTGAAATCTTCAATGATTGTGAAACTATAGATTAATGAACATGTTCAGCAATATTTCAGAATTTGTTGTTTAACTCAGCCCATATCTACACATTCCTCTTTTAGTTATCGTTCTCGAACCTTCCCGTCCTTCTGATGAAGGTCAGGATGTCCGTCCACTCTAATTCGACCAAATCTTCCTGTTGCAGTTTATCTACTCCAAAGATTTCGAATCTCATCCTTCTATACGCCTCACACTCTCCGAGGAAGTGGAGTAATGTCTCCTCATCTCCTCCGCATTCACGGCAAGTGGGACTTTCTTCTACACCTATGAGTGATAGGTGTCTGCGTAACCTGTTGTGCCCTGTCAGTACCCCTATAAGAAGGCGCAGGACTTGGCGATCCCTGCTCAGTAACCAAGCCATCTTTGGCTTGCTTGGACCGGCCACCAGGTCTCTCGATTGCCTGCAGCTGCCTATACGCCTCCAATATCCTTCTCCTCGTCCGCCCATTTGTTGAGGGCAGACAAAGTTTGGCTCCTTGTCATGCCCAGTGCAGGCTCCGGTCCCCAGAACGGTGTCGCGGATCCGATTCTAGCCAGCTCGTCGGTCACCTCGTTTCCGGGCACCCCCCTGTGACCCGGAACCCATACTGGTTCGACTTCCTTCTGTTCAGCTAGTTCCTCAAGAGCATCGCCACATTCCTGCACCTATGAGTGATAGGTGTCTGCGTAACCTGTTGTGCTCTGTCAGTACCCCTACAAGAAGGCGCAGGACTTGGCGATCCCTGCCAAGTAACCAAGCCATCTTTGGCTTGCTTGGACTGGCCACCAGGTCTCTCGAATGCCTACAGCCGCTTTCAATATCCTTCTAGTGCCTCGTCTGCCCATTTGTTAAGGGCAGACGGAGTTTGGCTTCTTGTTATGCCCAGTGCAGGCTCCGGTCCCCAGAACGGTGTCGCGGATTCGATTCTAGCCAGCTCGTCGGCCACCTCTTTCCCGGGCAACCTCCTGTGACCCGAAACCTATACTAGTTCGACTTCCTTCTGTTCAGCTAGTTTCTCAAGAGCATCGCCACATTCCTGCACCAAATCTGAGCTTGGTTTAAGATGGCAGATAGCCCTGAGAGCCGCCTGACTATCCGAGCAGATGTAAATCTTCTGCTCTGGTCCCTCTTTCACCTCTTGCCTCTCTGCTACAGTCAGAATGGCAGATACCTCGGCCTGGAAAACTATGGTATACTTTACGAGAGCGTAGCTCTTCCGTATACCTATTCCTAGGTGAATTCCTGCACCTGAGTCCTGTCTGTCAGTTAGGCGCGATCTGTCCGTAAAACATACTAGACTTCCTGGGCGGAATTCCACTCTGTTCTCTTTCCATTGTCCCCTACTTGGAATAGTGAGCCTATTTCGAGCGTTCTTCACTCTCAGGGTGGAGATAGGGATCTCCTGCTCCATTCATGTCGCAATTTCCGCGTGACCTGTCGCTGCCCCTCCGTTAGCCCAACTCCTACCTATGCATAAATCACTCATCAAATCATATTTGGTAATGTTTCAAGAAAATGGTGCAATAATGTATGATTCCAACCAAACATTTTCCACAAGTCGCTTGTAGCGATCAGAAATCATTCAGTATCAAATATTACTAGTGCATCAGGCAACGATGAATTCAATATCAAATTAATATACATATCAGAATTGAAAGAAACTGATTTCAATAAATTGGCATTATATCTTTGTCTAATCTTGTATACGAATATAAACTCTATATTGGGTAGAGCATATATCAAAACAAGAGTTAAATTCCACATAGCACCAAGATCCTAGAGTGTTCAAATCAATTCCTAGGCCCAATAATTTGGAATCAATGTTCCTTCAATATAATCTCATTATTGGTTCAATATCCACCCAATGTCAGTGTTCTACTTGGGACATAAACTTCGTATCTCAGTGAAGCCCAACAATTGTTTGATGACTTTCTCTAGGAATCTAGGATAGCCTTCGAATGACTTCTTTCTGGTAGGTTTCAGTAGTGAAGTACCTCTTTTTTCCACGGACCCGATCTCAGAGTACTGTGACTCTCATGTGATTCATCTAGCCAGATTTGTTGAACTTAAGAGCCTTATCTGATTTTGATTTGGAGCATTCTACCACCAGCACATTTTCCATATCAAAGACATAGCTCATAAGAGAGCAAGGCATATTCCAACAACGCCATGGGATCAAAAATATTCAACCAGTAAAGAGTCAAAATATTCGAAGTGGAATGAAATGGTAACAAAGAAAGAGGAAGAAACGGTGGTCATGAGTTTCATCTGGGAACGCCCCTGCACTGATGAGAGAGCAACTGTATTCGTATCTATACGAATCATTGCATATATTTTGGTAGCATGTAACTCGATGTTCCACGTGGCATGTAGTCAGAAAGCAATTATCTTCTTCTGATTATCTGCCATTATCGTTCAATTTATGAACTATCGTGGAAATGACTCCCAGTTTCTTCTTCCTTCGCTTACTCAATCGCTTTTCCATGCATTAATAGCAGCGCTACTAAAACCTCCGCTTGAGCAAACAGCTTCTCGATTCCTGATTCACACACGAAGACTATCTTGATTCACAGAAGGTGGACACGATTCGTCTGCTTATTCCCGATCTTCCTCCAGATATGCAACTGGAACTACCTCAAAGTACACCACCGAATCCTCACTAGCAGGATCAAAATACGACGACTTATCCTCCAAATACAGCAAGAGATCTTATGGCACTGAGGGTGGAGATTCATCAGCTCTGACATCAAGTTACACATCCAGAAGAGGCGTGTCTTCCGCTGATGATGACTATAGCTACAGCAGGCAGTCGAGAGTGGGCTCTAGCGATGCAGATCTAGATACCTACAGTTACTCCAAGAGAATCAACAAACCTTCTGATGGAGAAGGTGAAGGATACAGCTCCTATTCTAAGAAGTCCTCGAGATCTATCACGAGAACTGAAGGAGTGGGAGATGGAGATGACTTCAGCTACACCAGACGTGGCATGAAATCGACCATAGAAGGAGTGGGTGATAATGACCAGTTCACTATCAGAAAATCGTTAAGGACCTCTGTTGAAGGGACAGGCATAGAGCCCTCAGAAACCAATGATGCTTATTCCTACACATCCAAGAGAACTGGCTCAGAATTGGGTTCCAGGCATTCAATCAGATCGGTTTCCATAGAGGAACCCAAAGATGACTCCGACGACGTATTGTCGAGGATTTCCAGGAAATATTCTAGGAACAACTCGACCGAGCCTAAGGCTATAGGAGAAGAGGAGGAAGATAAGTACGCTAAGTATACGAGGAAGTATTCGAGAACAGATTCTCACAAAGATGAAGATGAAAGTAGGTTCTCTAGGAGATCTTTCAGAGGCAACTCTCGGGGTACAGATGATGAGGAAAATGTGCGCTCTGGAAGGATTTCTAGGGACAAGAGTTATGATGAAGAGGATGCATATGAGAAATATGCTAGGAAATATCTGAGGAAAGAATCGACGTCTACAGAAGGAAAGGATCAGTCGCTTGATGTCGAATCCAAACGGTATTTGAGGTCAGATTCTTCCAAATCTAGATCGAGGAATTCAGATGATGGTGAGTATTTTCCAATACATACCAATAATTATCATACAAACAGAGAGGTGTTAGAAAATAGCAAGTGCCTTCTGAATCATTCGAGATCGATTCGAAATTCGGTCAATAGCAAATATACCAATCTGCTGATTTACCGACAGGAAAATATCAGTTTCATTAATTCTGGTGAAAGCAGAGATGATAAAATGAATATTTCTGTCGATAGAAGGCAATTTGGTATACTTCCTACCAACTTGATTCCAAAACCCGAACTCTAATGATTGAGTACTGTCCGATTTTGTGCAGTTCTTTGTTACAGAGAACTCAAATTTTGAAATTTGTTGAGTAGCCAGTATACCAGATTGCCTCTTATTGGCAAGAAATATCTATTCTTTTACTTCTGGTTCAACCAGAAGCTACCCCAACTTGTGATTCTTGAATAAAATAAGCTGCTTATCTTGATATTCCGATCAGAAAAAGGTTTCTACTATAATGTTGAACGATCCCATGAATCCAAAAATGATAAATATCGAAACTCAGGATCACTCAACGTTCAACTGGAAGTGATTGAACTTATATTTTATTGTCAATTAATAAGTCTTGTGGTACATATATCATATATTCACTACCCACAAAATTTCAGAATCCGATGTTGAAAGATTGAGAAAGTAAATCACAAAATCAATTCTTCGAGGGCTCGCCAATTCCACTTTCACGATAAATTTACCTTGCATTTCCAATGGCTACTATAATGAGTTTCTAGTCAGTTCATCAGGACTTCCTTCAGAAGTCGGACTATACATCAAAATCATCCTGAATCACATAGTAGGCATTTCCAGAGTCATCACGGATCCAGCTTCTGAACAAATAGGTATGATTCAGCAAATCCAACTCTTTTGATATACACATCAGTAACACTTGAAACACCATCCAGTTTTTTGCGAATTTGATTGTTTTGAACTGACCCATATGAATGAAAATGTGAATGTTTGCATTTGGTTAATAATATCGGATTTGTTTGTTTTTGCATGACATCCCATGAAATAATATCAATGTATTTCTTTATATATAGATATATCCATTTTTTATATTCATCATTATATCTGAGAATATTCCTTTTCAATAATATCATTTGTTTGAGTCACAATTCAATCTTTCGGAATGGAACATGAAGTGATATCCAACAAGAGAAAAATTCATAATTGCCATCAATTGCCATTTTCAAGTCAATACATAACCAACAACTGCTACGTATACGTCACCACAAAATTCTTCAATGAAAACGTCCTCTCTAATTCATCAATGTTCTTGTAGGTCGATTTACTTTTATCAAATTCACTATTATTATTTTTTGGCAAGTTTTCTACTCCAGCGAATAATAACCAATATTTTCAACTATATTTTCATTCAAAAATCCAAATCAAACATTCCTTCTACTGGGTGTTCCACGACGATTAAGAAAAGAAATATCTCGGAAATCGAGATAAGGAACAAATTGTAATTTTGTGAATTTAAGCAATTGGTGCAACTTTTTCTGATATATTTCATCCGAGCAGCTCTTTGTTTTCGGCCACGTAACATCAGATTCAGAATTTTGAAATGTTCAACCTGTAAAAAAACTCCACAAACGACAAGACTTTCACAAAATTTTGTGGAAGTCTTGTCGTTTGTGAAGTTTTTGCCTTTGCCTTGGATTTTCATCAAGTAACGGCCGAGTCAATTCAAAACATTCAACCTGTATATTACGACATTTCTATATCTTCTTTCCGGTAGGACGAATTCAACACTCTGTCACATTAATGTTCTGATACAGATAATTTGAGAACTACTGGTACCTCAATATCGTTTGTCGTCTGGAACGTGCAATTGCATAATTAATTTAGATTAGGGTCTCCCTGTATATTTGGGTGAACCTATATATTTATTGGGATGAATGAAACATTATTCATATTTGATTGAGGAACGTAGTCGAAAATATTTGGAACACAAGTCATTTAATGTACAGGTGAAAAAAGGACTTGATTTTAGCTCGAGGTTGTGTTGTCTCCGGACGCGTAGGGTTTCATATACTCAAAAATAGGAAAATAAAATTTTTTAAATGGAATTTTATTTCTGAAAACATGTTATATAAATCATCGATATGGATAGATAGTGATGAGATGAACGGAGAATAATGTCCTATTTTTATAACAAAAAAAAAACGAATTAAAATAAAAATGATATGCGTTTTTGGTGTCGTTGCTATAAACACCATGTTTGAGAATGATTCCAAGAATTTAACCGTACATACTTGATGGAAAGATACAGAATGTTTCAGGCATATTTATTTTTTTAACAAAACGGGCATGTCTATCGTGTTTTTCGATCTTCACATAAAGCACGTCTAACAAATTCATTTTGATGAATTTCGCCACGTTCAACCACCACAGTACCACTAATTATAGGTGCGCGCTGTGGAATTTTTCTTGTTAGATATCCATTCATTTATTCACTTGTTCATTTATCCAAACTTGATATCTCCAAGGCATTCGATCGAGTCTGGCACCACGGACTCCTCGCCTAGCTTCCATCTTGAGGCTTGCCTCCCCAGCTATGTTCTCTGCTAGGTCTCCTTATGTAGTGGTCGACGGAGTTTCATCTAACTCTCTTATCATGAATGCTGGTGTTCTGCAAGGATCAATTCTAGCAACAACACTATTTCCACTCCATATCAACGATTTGTTCAGAGCAGCTTCATGTCCAGTACACATCTTCGCGAATGATAGTACCCTACATACCGCATTCTCTTCCAGGGCTCCAATACCAGCCAGGCAAATCAAAAACGAACGAGGAAGAAATGTTGACAACATAAATATGGACCTGGCAACAATTCGCGATTGGAGATCCAATAACTTGGTAGATTTCAATGCAAACAAAACACAAGCATGCTTTTTCTCTAGAAAAGCCGATCTCACTGTGCCCAACATGAGCATGTCAGGGGTAACCATACCTTTGAAGACATCCATTTCGATGCTTGCTATTACTATCAGCAATAACCCGTCTTGGGAAAATCACTTGAGATCAATTGCTAGAAGTGCATTCCTGAAACTTGGTTTTCTGTTTAGGGCCAGGAGCTATTTCACTTCCAGTTAGCTGCTTATGATCTATGAGGCACAGATTCGACCTGTCCCATATTAGAGTGCAGCACCCAAACATAGCCTGAAACTGTTAGATTCTATCCAAAAAAAGGCAATTCGTCTCGTGGGTGATGCCTTGCTCACAAACCCACTCACTTCTCTTGAACACCGTAGATAAGTTGGCAATCTGGCTCTATTTTATAGATATTTTAATGGAAGATGCTCTTCTGAGATATCAACAAGTGTTCTTCCCTTGGCAGTCCCCGCGAGATTAACCCGTCGAGTTAAGGCTTCGCACCACTTTGTGATCACTTTGGAGACCTGCAGAACATCTATTTTCAGAGACTCGTTCATCCAACGAACAGCGAGGCTCTGAAACACATTGCCAATGGAAGTTTTCCACGAGGCATATAACCTACAGAAATCCAAGAGGAACACCAAATCCTACCTTATTTCCCTTGGCTCTCACGATGTTCTCTGAACAATACAGGATATCCCTTTCCGTGTGAACCAGAACATAAAAAAACAGACCTACTGGCTTCATACCATAGATAACACAATGAAGGTGAATATTTGATCCCATAGATTCAGGAAAAACTATCAAAGTTGACCATATTCTACCGGTGTCAACATCAGTTAGCTCCTGAAAATGTATGCCTACTACAAACGCTCACTGGTTTCAACACTTTCATCGCTTCTGGTGTCCCAATCAGTGTTTTTATAAGGTCTGCGCGAAATTTTCCTGTGCGATGGCTGAAAATTGTCACTTATCTGTCAAAAATCTTCTCCATTATTGAGCGGCAAATTTGAAGAGATGAAGGTTAATTTTTAGATTTTTTTTCCACAATATATCTAGATTTTTCGGTTATATTAGGGGCGAATCCATGGCAAATCAACTGATTTGTCTTTTCCTATATATCTATTTATACCAGGTGTTCCATTTTAATCTTTATTAGGAAATTTCTCGAAAAGTATGCATCTGACAAAAAAAATTGCCGAATAAAAGTTGTATGGTTTGGTGGGGGACGTCTGGTTATGAAACAAGTTCCACCCCCTGGGATATGGAGGTAACATTGCAATCTTTAATGGAAACCCCTATTTTTTATTGCAGATTCTGGAAGAGCATTAACAATCATGAAGCTTTTATTCGGGAACTTCTTTTTTATTTCAACAAGATGGCGCTCCGTATGTGGTTTCAGCAAGATGGCGCGCCTCCACATTTTGCTAGAATTGTGCGTCCTTGACGAGAGATACCCGCAAAAGTGGATTGGTCGTGGGGGACCCGTGCCCTGACCACCCAGATCACCCGACTTGACTTCCCCATACTTCTTTCTGTGGGGTTACATCAGAAACACTGTGTTTCGCGAACCCCCAACCACACGCGAGAATATGAAAAATAGAATTAGAGGAGCGTGCATGGCTATAACGCCTGCTATTTCGGAAGCGACAGTGCGGAATTTTGAAAAACGAGTGAACTTGTGTATTCAAGAAAATGGAGGGCATTTCGAACACTTGATAAAGTAGACAATCTCACTTAAAACCAGCTTCAGTCTGACCTAAATGATACCTCAATTGCTGAACCATGCTTATTTTTCTCTTTTCTATGTAGAGGTGTCAGGGTAAGTTAGTTCGTTTAGCGTTAATTTATCGTGTGAATATCACCCCAATGGCGTTTGTCTGAGAAAATATCACACCCTACACTCTTCCTCGTCTCCAGGAGGTTGAAATGTGTAAATAGTAAAATATTCTTTTTTACGATCGCAGCGCCATCTTGTGAAAATAAAAAAGAAGTTCCCACATGAAAGTTTCATAGTTTCAAATGCTCTTCCAGAATCTGCAATAAAAAATAGGGGTTTTCGTTGAAGATTTCAATGTTACCTCCATTTCCCACTCCCCTGGGGGTCAGGGGGTGAAACTTGTTGCATAACCATACGTCCCTCTCCAAACCATACAACTTTCATTCGGCAATTTTTTTTGTCAGATGTATACTTTTGACTTGACTGATTTCAACACCCTGGTTTTCGTGAAGTTATATGAGCAACCATTTCCAATTTGATCTTATTGAAATCCAATATGGCGGACGTTCGCTTTTTCCGGAATTGCCAGAAACTCTGATATTCCAGATGGAAGACCTTGTATATTTTTACAAATTCAAGTTCAACAGGTCAAAACAAGTGGAATCTCATGACATGAATCAGAAATGTTGTGTGCCACAGCTCACCTGAAAACTAACTCGAACTGCAAGGAAATTCATGAAACTAGTTGTTGTTTCTTGAATGTATACAATTTGTTACTGCACCGAGATACAAAAACGATACGTTATCTTTTTTTTCAATGTTTGTTTCAGAGAGACATGTAGGTGGCTCATAGGGGTTCCAATTGAGAAAAAAATTGCTTGATCAAAATGTGATGTGACTGAAATGCTTCATCGATAAGTGAAAAAAAAAATTAGTAAAATTTGTATATCGCTACTTCAAAGTTGGGAACCAACTCCCCAGAAGTCGAAACTTGTGCGGGATTAGGAAGAGCGGGACCTTCAGCTTATAGTGGAATCCGAACCACTTCTAGGGCATCGAGGTGCTGCCAGGATTACAACCATGAATCACACATTCCAAAGAAAAATGCTCAGTCGATAGCCGGATTCGAACCGACAGTACCTCTGCATCGTGAACGGCTATCTAACGAATTTCAGCGCATAGAAAAACTCGGCTACAAAGCCCATTTTTCAAAAGCATAATTCTCAAGAATATGGGACTTATTTTGAATAGCCTTGACCACATCCCATGCATCCGCGAAGTATAATGGAATTGAATGATCCAATTTGAATTTTGTCGAAAAGACGTCATTCGACATATAGATTGCACTAGTTTTGACCTATTGTACTCGAATGTGTGGGAATATACAGAGTGTTCTCTTGGAAAAATAAAATTTGCTAGCATTTCCAGAAGAACCGGAAGTTTTCCAAATTGAATGTTATTGTAATCAAATCCTAAACTCTTCCCTACATGCATTAACCCTTCTACCTACATCTTGTTCAACCTACATCTCGTTCAAGTAGTTGTATCAGCTATTGCCTGTGCCTATTGTCGAAATTTCATGTTTCGTCCCTTGACATTGTCTTTGACTCATGTCAACGTCTTGTCTACATCATTATTTGACATTATTTCCCAACCCCATTGGTTTAGATTTCAACACATGCTGGCTGTTTGCCTCATCAATTTTATTGATATTTTCATTAAGTTGCGCTTTCATGAGGGCACGGAAAATCCCTCTTTTATAAAAACACGCTAATTTAGGGTTTTGTTGAAGACAGCTGCCTGGCAATTTCCCTTCATATACCATTTTGGTATATGAAATTTCGATGAAATGAATTGTATGTGCTCTCAGGGCACTGGGCCCTTCATTTATTGAAAATCAGTTTCTTCATTCATTAACTCGATTTTTCGACTATGGGCATTTACAACAATTTCACAACTAGAAGCATCATATTCTCTCACCTACAAGTACAAACTGTGAATCTCTCACATCAATCTTTTTGTATTGTAGAACATTCAATTGGGCTGAAGGTCTATCTTGGAAGACCAAAACAAGTCCCTTCTGATTGTGTAACAACTCTATTAAAATTTGTGTAGATGATTTCGGGCATTCCTTGCTTCCTTCTTTCAGAAAATTCCACTCCACTTTGATTAATATGGACTTCTACCAAAGACAAACCCAAAATGCTAGCTGTGCCAAATTTCAGAAAAATCCGTTAACGAATGCAAAAGTTACAAGAGTGGCCCGATACCCTGTGATACCAAATATATTCAAATCATGATATTCAATTCCAGAATCATCCTCGGTCAAAATAACCAGACAGGTAGAAACAGCCGAACAATCAGCTACATCGGAGAAAACCTCATCAAAAACATACATCTCAGAATCTCACTCGCAAGAATCTGAAGAAATAGCAACAGCTTCAGTACAGTCGAATATTGCACAGGAATCACTGAGAGAAGCTTCTGATGCACAAGCTAGACGGAAAGAAGTGTCCCAGAAAAAAGAGATAAACGGTAAAATAGAAGAAGTAAGAACAGAAAAAGAAGAAGGACTGTCCATCAATCTCAGAACCGTCAGAGAAAAGTCTGCTGAAGACAAATTGGGAGAAATGGAAGGCGATGGTTCACTCAAGTTTATCAAAACCATTCGTGGTACTAGCATCGAACGTGAGTATGATATTGACATTTCTTTATCGATAAGGGGTGAACAGTATTTATTGCCCACCACATCGGGCTACTGAAACGTGAGGTCACAATTGGTATAAATTACTTCTATTTTTTCTATCATTTAGCCTCTTTCTATACGATATATCCTTCTCCGTCAATGTAAGAATTGGTCGTAGCCTTCCAATTCTGCTCAAGTCTTTCCATAACATGAGTTCTTGTTTATGTCCAAATGGGCCATATCAATGTTTTCGGATATTTTCGACAGAACAGGGTTAAACCTTTCAGTCCAAGCGCAGGCTGCAAATTTCGACCTCATCTGAAATGATATATGTCCCAAAGGCATGTAGAACCATTGTAGTTCATCGGAAGGCACCTGTGCCAATCACTATCTTGAGAAAAATGATTGAAAAATTGCACTTTCCTGTGCGGAAACTCGTACTCGATTTCGCGATTTGATAACAAGATAAGAAATATGCCATCTGATTAATTAATTTCTCTAAATATAATAGTACAGAGTAGACTTCACACTATGAACAGTGTCGGATCCACCGGAAATTGATAAATAATGAGGAAAATTAATTGTTACACTAATGTATAAGTACATTTCATGAAGTTGAAAGAAAAATTTGAAGTTCCAAATATATAGTTGCCCCAGGTTCATGCTAACAAGAGCCTCGACAACTATAGGACCTCGAATCTTGTGAATCTTCAGAGTGCTGGCCGGCGATTTCATGCTGAGTAGATTGACCAACACAGGTGCGTTTGGGCCTGCCTGATTCATGATGTGCTGGCCTATTCACCAAGACTTCTAGTTCATCTTTAAAAGGCTTTTTTTTGGGCCTTCCTCTCCTCCTAGGTGTTTAGTCAGTAGATGAGACTAAATTTGAAGATCCCACATGCCCATCTTTCGAACTAGGTTGGTTGATACCTAGATCCGAAGCAAAACTTTTCCTGGAATCATCAAGGATAAACTTGGTGTTGTCTTGCGACTGGGTGATATTTGAGAATTGATCGATTTTGGTGCTCGAAGAGAAGCCTTTTCTTGTGGAAGTGGTGGCTGTTACAACTTGGGTATTTTTCTGATAAAATAGTAAATACGCTTTGTTACTGATAATCGAATCTGATGAAATTGAAGAAACACGACAATCGTTAAATCCGTGCCAGATGTTCGAGTAAGGATGTTTGCAGTAGGCCGTATAGTGACCACTGTTGATGGTACCGCTATGGTTTGAAATAGCATATAGATCGTAGTGGAACGGTCACTTCCATCGGCTGCGTAATAGCTCATATCCAGTTTTTCTAAAGGGAAATCAACTGTGACGTTCAGTTTTTCTACGAACAGATCCAGCGAGAAACGTTTCAGATGGAAGACAAGAATTTCAGGAAACCTCTGGATAGATAATGACTTTGTACATTTTCACCTTTCCTTGCATTTGGAGCAAGTAGGCTTGTCTTCGCCATCCAATGACTCCTCTCTGGTAAATGAGTCCAAGCACTGAAACAAACTTAGTTGGCGCGTTCGCTGTGGTATTGGCAATGACAAATCCCAAAAGGAATCAAACGTCACTGAGGAATAGCCGCAATACGTGCATTTCAATGAAGACTTAAGCAGACCAACGAAATTATTGACTATCTCCGAATTCTCCACTTTCAAGAATCTCGACCACGATTCCAAAGGCTTTTCGTTGACATCCACAATTTCTACGATATCTGTGAACTCAGAATCGGACTTCTCGATGACCTTATTGATATCCTCGTGCAAACCCAAGAGCAGAGAGCGCATAAACTCTTGTGCGTCTTGCTGTGCATTACCGATGAAGCACGGCGCAAATTTTTGGATTGTGCACTTCAAAGAGTTCATATTGACACCTTGGTCAGTCGAATCTTATGACCACAGTTCTTTCATGACTTCTGCGAAAGCCTTCATCAAATATCCCTTCGTGCTGGATATGCTTGTGTTGATATCTCTGTTATATAAGTCCATCATCAAATACTCCAACAACCACTTAGTGTGAGACATGCACTGAATGATACTGTTCATGAAACACGTGTTCCCAGTGTTTCTCAAGCCGTTAAGACCAAATTTCTTCCAGGATATTGGAAAGTCATTGATCCAGTATTCACAATTTTCATCGCTGGATCGGAGATATATCGATGTTGAATTTTGATTTTCAGATGGTTGACCAGATGGTGTTGAATAGGTTGACAGGTTACTCGAATATGACTCAACGACACTTGGCGTGGGTGGGAGATCAACAGCATGGATGGGTTTAACGAGTTTACATGGATTTTCTTGTGTAGATCTGCTTGCACAAGTCCGGGTTCTTATTGGAAATGCATCACCCAGTATATAGAAGATTTCTTCGAGACCTTTGCTCGATGGTATAGTATTGAGAATGCAAGCAGCATTGCCTCTCTGAATCTCAATTGAAATTCTTTGGCGAAGGTATTCAGTAGATCTAGTGTAATGACTGATATTGGCTTAAAGGTTGGCTTATAAAACTGTAGCTTATAATGTCTAAAATAAAGACTATATTTTTAACGATTATTATATTAATCGAAAATTAACAACTGAATTATTGATTCAACTCCTTGTTAACAACATATTCTGTATACAGGGTAAACTGATATACAGGATGTAAAGTAAACTATCCAACATTCTCCCCCTCGTATGATTACTGAATCATACAGGATCTTCGTCATTAGCAATCTTCAGTCTGCATAACTTCGCTACAGGCCTCTTGTAGATAGTGTTGTTGATTTTCACATCAACAACCCTGGTTTGTCCGTCTCTCCCGGGATATAATTTGGTTACGATGCCCATGTGCCATGTGTTTCGTGGTGCGTTATTATCGACGACCAGAACTAGTTCACCCAATTTAATTGGTTCAACATTTGAATCATACCATTTCGTCCTTTTCGTTAATTCTGGTAAATATTCTTGCACCCACCTCTTCCAAAACATATTTGTTAATTGTTGAGCAACTCTCCATTGTCTTTGCAATGACACATGTTTTTCTTCAAATACTCCTGGCGACTCTGTCCGATTATTTGTCCCTATTAAAAAATGGTTCGGTGTTAAGCACTCCATGTCTTTAGGATCCAAAGATACATGAGTTAATGGTCTCGAGTTTACGATATTTTCGGCTTCTACTAATAAAGTTTTCAATATTTCTTCTTTTGGTGCTCTCTCTGTTAAAACTGCATGCAAAGAAGTTTTTATAGATCTGACCAATCGCTCCCAGCTGCCGCCCATGTGTGGTGAAGCTGGTGGTATGAAATGCCATGTGATATGTCTATTAGTTAGTGCTTCGCCTATTTTTTGTATCATCCAACTCCTTCAATGCTTGCTTCAACTCTTTCTCGGCTGCTTTAAGGTTAGTACCATTATCCGAATAAATGTGCATTGGTTTGCCTCGCCTGGAAATCATTCGCCTTATCGCAAGAATAGCTGAATTAGTGTCCAAACGATTTGCTAGCTCGATATGTACTGCTCTAGTTGTCAAACAAGTGAAGAGTACACCATAGCGTTTTTCTCGCTTTCTTCCCACGGTCACTTCAAGAGGCCCAAAATAGTCCATTCCAGTGTATGTGAATGGTAGTTCGTATTCTGCTAACCTACACTTTGGTAACTCGCTCATGATGGGAATTTCTGGTTTTGTTTTGTTCTTCTTGCATTCAATACATTGTTTTGCAATTTTTCTGACTATTCCTCGTAAATTTAAAATCCAAAACTTCTGACGTATCTGGTTTATTATGTAATCCTGTCCTAAATGGTTATTGTTTTCATGAAAATGTTTCACCAAAAGATTTGTGAATGATGTTCTTGAGTCCAAAACTATGGGATTTTTCATATCTTCATCAGCAACCTCTGCTAAACTAATCCTTCCCTGCATTCTTATTATTCCATAATTATCCATGAAAGGGGTTAGCTGATAGATTCGACTTGATTTTTCTACACATTTTCCACGTTCCAAATTCTTTATTTCTTCATGAAAGCTATTCCTTTGGATATCCTTATACCATAAGACCTCTGCTTTCTTTATATGTTCTGGTAAAAGATATTCAGAATTGCCCTTTTTACGTAATTTTTCGATAAAAAACAGGATGTATGCGGTGGCTCGTATCAATCTTGTCCAATTAGAAAATCTTGATACATCAGGGAGACCTGTGTTTTTCTCTATAGTGAGTGTTACCCATTCCTTGCGAATTTCCAATTCTTTTTCCATTTTCTTGATTTCCGGTATATAGGATTCTTCTTTTGGCCATTCTTCTTCAGGAAGCTTTAAAAATGGGGGTCCTTGGAACCATCTAGATTCAGTGCCTACTTTTGGCTAAACTGACCATTTCGTACCTTCATCAGCAATGTTTTCCTTGCTGCTTATCCATCTCCAATTTTCTATATTTGTATTACTCTGTATTTCTGCGACTCTATGTGAGATATATTGTTTGAATCTTCCTGCATCACTTCTCAGCCAATACAAGACCGTCTTTGAGTCAGACCAGTAATATTTTCTGTAGAAATCTATTCGTGAATTGTTTTCGATGAATTTTGAAATGTTACTTGCGAGCACGGCTGCTTGTAATTCTAACCTTGGTATGGATAGAGGTTTAAGAGGGGCTACTCTAGTTTTAGCCATCATCAAAGCTATATCAACTTTTCCTTCATTTTCTATCCTCAGGTAGGCAATTGCACAGTAGGCTCGTTCACTCGCATCGCAAAATATATGAAGTTGGACAGATGATTGTTTATAAAAAATCTGCGAAAATTGTCTTGGTATTCGCAAACTTTCAATTTTGAGGATTGTTCTTCTCCATTTTTCCCATTTAGCTTGAAAATCTACAGGTAACTTTTCGTCCCAACCCATTTTTTTCTTCCATAAATCTTGCATAAGGATTTTAGCATAAATAAGAATGTTAGCCGCGAAACCAAGAGGATCGAAAATCGACATTACGATCTTCAAGAGTTGCCTTTTAGTTGGTAAACATTTTCCTTCCAT